ATTGTGGAGTTAAGCATTAGTTACAGTGTTGACCCAACCCTTAGCCCAGTGCCTTGAGCCACTTACTTCCCAGTTCCACCCTCCACCAGGATAACCATTCACATCTGCCATGTCCCTTCAGAAAATATCTTCCATTTTCCAACCCATGATCTGACAGCTTGTATCTGAAGCTTTCTTGGCTTCTGTGATTCCAAGAACTTCCAGATACATAGCAAATAACTGAAAAGACCATGGCTTGAATCAGGTACACCTTCATTTAAAACTGAAGTCGTTGCTCTTAAGCACTTTAAACAGGTCTTTTAACATGTCTACACCCAGCACAGAGAAGGAACAATATAAAAGTAGAACAAAATTACAATTGGTCTCTATTTGTCTGGAGCAACAGACATAAACATGTCTGTTAACATGTGGCAAATCATCTCCATGAACACTGTCTCCTGTGTTATGAGATGAAAAAACCAAAAGAGCTGGATGTTACCTGACAGAAAAGCATTCTGATCAAAAGGGGGAAAACACAAAACAGAATTTCAAATTCTCACAGACTTCAGATTTTTCTGGAGCAATGGGGGCTGGATGTACCCCTAAAACTGCTGCCTTGAGATAACCTTTAAAACTTAAAAATATCTCCTGGAATCTTCTTAAAACTAAACAGTAGTTTGAGTAACAACAGCTTAACTTAACTAGTAAAAAATGTATGCCTTGAACATTCTGTTCTCCTAAGATCTATATAGGATCCAGGTGACAAAAGCAACTTGAAAGATAATGAACTATACCAGGCAGCAAATTTATGTTCACGGAAGAACTCAGTACCGGAGAGTGAGGAGGATTGCACAACTGTCTCTGAGTCGTGCATGTAGAAATGGCTATGTTTTGCTACGTATATTCTCAACAATACAAACAAAAGCTTTTTTCCTAAAAAAAAAGAAGAGTAGTGTTTACAGATACCAAAAGCATGACTCTGTGTCCCCTAATTCCAGACTAAGTAAAATAAGCCATTTCTACCTTTCTTTGCCCAGATGCTCAGAATGGCACATTATCTCGGTCATAGTCTAAAAACAATCTCCTGACAAATAACTCTGCCTTCAGAGAGGAAAGGTCTGCTATCCTCCTTTTATACCTAAGGCAACTGAGATCTTGAGTAGTTGAGGTCAAGGCCATTTGGGCAGTAGATGGTACAAAGCAAGACTGAACAGAACTACATCAGAGTCAGGGCCCATCTCTACACATTCTGGACAAAAGGGCTCTGCAAAATAGACTTTTGAGGTAACAGTCCCAGTTACAACTCAAGTACTCAGCTCAGTAAAGGCAAGGTCATTCATTTCCCACCTACCACCCCTACCACCACCTCTTGCCCAAACCCTCATATCACCCCTCTTTCTCCAACACCTGCTTCACTTAACTAAGCACAGTAATTACAAGGCTTTCACTTCCGAGGCGAGCCCTGGCAGGCATCCCGCTCCAGCGGTGGTGAAGCTGAGCCCAGGCAGCCTTTCCAGGGCAGGGGACAATGCCGAGGGCACCATCGGTCCTGGGGAACATGCCAACCACTGGCAGGAGGGTGGCCCAGGCGCCGGAAGGGCATCAGACCCCAATTCAACTCAGAGAATTCGATCCTCCCTCCTGAAAGGAAGCCAGGCAGCCGAGCAGAGGAGGGGACCAAGATTTCAGCAACCCTAGGGACAGCTTTAACCTCTGAAGGCTGCAGAGTTTTGAAGAGAAGCTTTGTGTCCTAAGGAGCTCTGACGGCATAGTTCGTAAAGTGTTGTGCTGCTAGCCCAAAGGTGGCACTTCTCTGATAGTTCAAATCCTCTAGCTTTTCAAGAGAAAAAACAGGCAATCTCCTCCTGTGTCATTATAGACTTCTGTGAAGAATAAACACAGTAACGTCGACAACTGCCAGGCCCTGCCATGGGTGCTCAGTGCACCGAAGTGAGTCACCCACGCTCTGCCCTTAATGAAGTCACCAGTTAGCAATGGCATCTCTGCTCTCACCTAATGTGCTGACTAAGCTCTTCTTACAAACTTGCTGTTGATTTATTATCAGATTTCTCTCCACAGAGTCACTCCAAAGAGATCAGATGCAACTCCACAAATGCCCCAGGTTAGGAAAGAATGGGATGCTTTCCAACACACCCCTGGACCTGATGGGAGCACCGTTCATCCAAAGCAGCAGAGCCACTCTTCCAGGCACCCCCTAAACATCATCGTCACACAACTGATGGCAGGAGGCAGCAAGGGAGCCAGTCTGCAAGTGGCTGGGACAAGGCAAGAGTCAAAGGAGGCGGTCAAGGGGCATTTGGAAAGCGCCAGAGGAAGGGCTCAAGCACATGGAAAGGGGGTGTGATGGCAAGACCGGTTTCACCCTCCAGACACCCGCTGGACTGTTGAGTCAGAGGTCTCCAGTAGTCACACACAGGACTTAAAAGGAGTAGCCACCAGCTTCAGCATCAAGATTGGTTATGTCCAGCCTCCTGGGAGAAGGAATTGCTTTTAAGTCCAGTCTTAGCTGGGACTTGAAAAAGAAGAATTCATTTAAACAGCAGAGACATCTGTGCACTTCTAGGGCAACCACTCTCTGTGGAGCATCTCAGTAGACAGGCTACTACCCACAACCTTTATCTAATTTAATCCACCCCACCACTCTTGGAGGCAGGAACTAATCAGCCTCATTTTACAGATAAACTGAGGCCAAGCAAGTGGACATGACTTGTTCAAAATTATGCAGCTAGAACTCATACTTGAGACCTTCCAGCTTCAAATGCAATGCCTGTGGCCTGGACAGACCAAACCATCTTCCCTATAGCAAGCATTAAGCATCTACTAGTTGCTCTGTAAAAATGAATGATTCACAATCAGATGAGTGAGTCTTAAAGATCTTGTCTCTTAGAAAAAGTTTAGTAAGGGAGAAAAGAGACTGAGAAGACTGAGCACCTGTGCCCATATTTTAGAAAACCTTGACCTTGTTGGAAAGGCCTCTTAAATCAGAGGAGTAGGCAGGACTGGGCACTCAGCTGGTCCACTCTGTTTATCAGGGCCTCAGCAGTGGAGGCCAGACTCACCTTCAGGGATGGTGTCCTCCTGGTACACCGGCCTCAGCAGCTGCAACAAAAAAGACAGGGAAACCAGCTCAGCCCCTGAAACGGGACAGGACAGTTAGCCAAGCTGCTGGACACCAGGCCAAGGAAGGCCTGGGGGAAAGGGAGAGAAGCAGAGGGAGAAAGAGCAGCCCCACTAACCAGCTGATAGGAGGAGCCGGGAGAGCACAGAATCTCAGGATGTTTGCCTTGAAAGATATTTGAGCTTTCATCAGATCTAACCCCTTGGCTCATTCTCCAAAATCCTTTATAGCAGCTGCTCCGACGTGCATTCATTCCATGGACTGGTGGTATGGGGTAGTAACAAACACACCACAAAGATAGACTTGAGAAATGCAGGATCCTTCTCTATAGGGATCCCCTTGGATCCCTGAGCAGGCTATTGAACGCCAGCAATCTCCCAGAAGAGAGAGCATGGAATACTTCTCAAACCTATTTGCCCTCAGAACACTTCTCCCCCAGAGCATCTCATGGGACACATGCTTTGGGGAACATGTAACATCACCCTTAACATCAATCAGCCATTGTCTGCTTCCACACCTCCTGTGACAGGGAGCGCACTGCCTTGTGAGGCAGCCAATCCACTGCAGAAAAGCAGGCTGCTGAAAGTTCTTGCCTCTGTTGAGTAGAAATCTTCCCCCGTCACCCTGACATCCCCTAGGGATCCTGGATCTGTTCCCTGAGGCAGCATCAACCCATCTGTCCTCTCTGCCCAGGAGAGCCCCACAGAAGCCAGAGCTAATACTCTGCCTGGGTTTCCTCATCTCGTGGCTTGGTATCCCTCCCCACCTTTACAGTCTCTCCCTCAATACAATTTCAAATGATCAAGTCTTCCCAGGTTTGCACAGGGCTCCAGCACCCTTCATTTCTTCTGAACCAGCACCCATACCTGGCTCCCAGGGTTCAGCGGGGCCAAGATAATGTAGTTGGGGTCAGTGGAGGCCGTGGCTCGAGACAGAGAAGGCAGGGTGTGCTGGCCCCCATGCTTGGACACCTCAGTGTAGCGCTCCCAGCCACCAAGCAGCAGTCCATCTGAGCTGTCACACACAAGGTGGCAGCTGTGACGTTGCTCGGGCCGGGTCTGGACCGCATGGGTGCAGTTCTTCTCTCGTTTGTTGGGGGGTGACTGGAGGTCATGTGTTGACTTGCAGGAGGCCCGACGCAGCACACCCCCATCTGGTCCTGGCTTGACCTGGGGGACCATGCGCCACACGAGCAGGATGATCTCCCCGGGGCAGCTCCTGGAGGCAGAGGTGCAGGAAGGGACACACAGAGAAATTGAGTCCAAGGGAGACCAGTCGTCCAGGGTGATAGGCAGCAGGGGCAAGATGAGCAGGGAAAGCCCCAGTCAGTGTCAGGGCAGGAAGGGAGGGAAGGGAGCACCTAAGCAGAGATGGTGAAAGGATCTCTTAGGTGAATTGTAACCAAAGGACAGGGAGCTCTGGTGGTCTAGTGGTAAGGAGCTGTGCTGTCATTTCAAAAGCACATTTCAAAAGCAGTGCTGTCATTTCAAAAGCACACAGTTCAAACCCACCAGCTACTCCCATGTGATTTACAGCTTCTGAAAACCCAGTGGAGGGTCAGCTATGGGTTGGCTCCAACTCAGTGGTACACAACAACTACCACCACCGATGGACAGTGGCTGAGAAGGAGCTTGGGACCAAGGCCAGGATGACACGCAAGGAGATATCGTCACACTCAGCCTTTGCAGCGCCCTCTCAACACAAGTCGTGAGTCTTCAAGTCTTCCTTGGCTTGCACAGGGACCCAATTCCCCTAACTTTCCCCAAACCAGACATCCATACCCAGCTCCCATAAGCAAAATATAAGTAGGAGCAAGCAAGACACCTATATTCAACCCTTCATCTACCCATTCTAGAGGTCAACCCAAAAATGGACCACTAAGACTTTATTGTTGTGGTTGTGTACCATCAAGTCAGAACCAATCCATAGCAGGTTTTCAGAGTCAATAATCTCATGGGAGGAGACTGTCCATCCTTCTCGTGCAGAGAGAGCAGCTGGGGATTCAAAACATGAGCCATCAGGATTGCAGCACAGATTCTTACCACTAGGACTTTGCTATTACACCTAAATACAAGACCTGCTGCCGTGGCCTCACTGCCAACTCCTGCCCCACACGTTACAGAGTAGAACTGCTCCACTGGGCTTTCTTGGCTGTAAACTTTGCAGAAGATCACCAAGCTTTCCTCTTGGTTCCCCCTGGGTGGGTTTGAACTGCTAATCTTTAGGTCAGTGGAAGAGTACAAACCATTTACACCACCCAGGGTATAAAAATTTAGAAAACCTAAACCTTTTGGCGGGGGGCAGAAATAACCCAAACAAACCTAATTAGTGTTTAAATGTGCCATTTAAACCTTTGCAACATCCACATCTCCTTTGGCCAAGCTCTCAGGTGGCAGAAATAATTGCCCAAAACAGAAAATAATCCCAAGCAGCCATATCATGAAGCACAGGCTCTGTTTGAGGGTATCTGTCCCTGTTTGCTTTGAGAGCCAAAACCGTTCTAAGATTGAACTTTCCATTTTCCGGCTATAAGCTGGTCCCCTGAGGAGCCAAGTGAATAGCTCACAGCTGGCAGAGGAGGGAGAGGAGGGAGCAGGGCCTGGAGGGTGTCCAGGGTGGGGGGAGGGTGAGGGAGGGTGTGCCCTCAGCCTGAAGCCCCAGGCCACCCGCTGCCCCTGTCACCGGATCTCGTGTGCCAGCTCCACGCATTTCCAGTGCTCCACCGGCCGCTGGTTCAGCTGCAGGACCGTATCCAACTGCTGCAGCCCTGCCCGCTCCGCCGGGCCCCCTGCGTGGACAAAGAAAAGCCACTCAGGGGCTCCGGAAGCCCAAGACCCCCTCAGGGAGTTGAGTTCTTTTCCTCCTTTGTGACCTTGGGCAAGGACTGCCCCTCTTATTTCCTCATCTGTGACTTGAGGGGCTGGACCTGGGGGCTGCTTCACCTTAGCGCTGTCCTGCCTCTCAGCCCTCTACCCAGACCCTGGCCTCTCTCTCCTTCTACCCCACTGATGGCCCTTTTTTGTCACCAGGCTCAACATTCATTCACTCCTCCAGTACCATTCAACCAGCCCCAGGCTGGTCCCATGCAGGCTCTGGGGACGCCCAGCTCACAGAGCCGGCTTCACGCCTTAAGATGCTCACTCTATGATTAAGAGTCATCTTTTATTTGAGAATAGTAGGGGGTAAATGGCTATTTTAAGGGCTAATCTGCCTTGGAATAGAATAAAATACCAATTCCAAACAGAGTCCATAAAATACTCCCATTTTCCCATGCACTCATTACTGAAAATACAGGTTTAGTTCCTGTTCAGAAAGAGTAGGAGCCAAAACATAATACCTATTTTCATTCTGATTAAAAAAAAAAAAAAGAGTGGGTATATTATCATAAACCTCAGTTTTGTCTGTGGTCATTTAAAAATATTATTCTTTTCACACTGAAAAACCAGGACACTATTCCAGCCTGGGGCTCCCTATGTACTTGCAGCCTATGTGAAGCCAGGTGCACAGTGGGGAAGGAAGCTGGGCATTGCCCAAGTCATTCACTTACCAGAATCCACAGCCTGGACTCGGACTGGAGAGTCGCAGCAGATGGTGAAGCCGAAGCCGTCCTTCCCCCTGGGGATGGTGATCTAGGACACAGGCCCCTGTTACTCTCAGAAGCCACGAGGCTGCGCTGCCTCTGTGCTCCCATGTTTGGAAGCCTGCATCCCCACCCCAGAGCCACTCTCCTCTCCAAGAAACGCCAGCCACGAAGTAGACTGTCTGGCCTTTCGTTGCCTATCTCAGCCCAGGCATCTTGAGTTCTGGGCTGGCCAAGCATGAAGGCTGAGTGTTCAGGCAGTAAGGCCAGACTGCTAGGACAAAGGCCCGGGACAGAACCTACAGAAGGTGAACCTCATTCTCCCCAGTCCCAGTAAGGGCATGACCCAGCCTTTTCCAGAGGCACTTGCACTTGGTACATCTCCACCTCCTCTATAACCTACTGCCAGCTTCCTCGCGCCTCAGAAGTGCAAGGAACATCCATCAGCCCAGTGCTGACTTTGGGCGGAAGGCTGAAGCCCCCAAACAAGGCAGACCTAGCTGCTGCCCCCTAGAGCACAGGGATGGAACACACACACCTTCACAGTCTTGGACTAAGGGTCAGGAAAAGCGTTCTGTTCTCTAGGTAATCAATCTCCAGAGTAACTCAGAGGCATTGAGTTCAGAAGGCTCTGAAGGTCCCCAGACTCCTCCTTTAACCTAAAATAGCCACTGACTTTAGAATGCCACTTCTGACCCAGGAGCATAGAAGAGTCACAACTCCTACTTTCAGAAGTCTTGCTGAAAGGGCCCTGCATGTTCTTTTCAACGCAGCACGTATTTCTTGAGACTCTACTATATGTCAGGCTTTGGTGAGGAACAGAGTATGAGGCTTCAACTGTGACTTCAAGGCAAACACAGACATCCCCAAAACAAAGAAAGACACAGCAAACACTAGAGCCAAGTATGGGACAAAAGTGCTTTGATTTTAGAGTCTATAGAATAATCCTGACCAAGAGATGAGGAAATGTTGAACAGAATTTCAAATTCAAAGAGAATATAGAATATCTGGAGTCACTGAGGCTGGAAGATCTCCCCTAAGATTGTGCCAAAAGAAATCTTTAAACTTTAAACCAAAAATATTCCCTGAAATCATCTTTAAACCAAACAATAGTTTCAATTAGAATAGAAGGTCTACCTTGAGTATTGTGCCAATAAGAATTATTTATATGAGATAACATTAACAGCAACTCAAAAGGTTTGAGAAGAAGCTCAGTAGCAGTATATTTGGGCTAATGATAGAAAAACAGTTTGGAAAAGGATATGGAGAAAGTTCATACACTTGAAGGATGTAACCAATATCACTCAATTATACATGTAGAGATGAAATTGATATCTATTCTGCTGTGGAATTTTTTTAAAAATAACATTTTTTAAAGTGCTTTGACTTTGAACTCCACACTCGGCCCACACAGTAGGGACACAGTAAGATTGAATAAATGAGGGCAGCCATCAGAGTTCCACCAAGAGAAGGAAGTTGTCAGGTTACAGTTGTCAGAGTTCTGTTGGCTCAGGTTGGTTCAATCTTGTTGCACACAACACTCCCCTTGCCACCCCGCCCCTATCTGCCCTCTATAAGGCTTTAAGTAGGAGGACAGAAGATCTAACTCTTGCCCACCAAAAAAAGCTTCACTTGGAACATTTAAATGAGAGCTACAGAACCAAGAGCAGAGAAAGTCCAAAGGGGGTTCAGTAGGGTTCTAAGGGACTCTTAGAATAACTGGGACTTGGAGGCGTGGAGGAGGGCATCCCAGGTAAGTTGAGGAAAAAGCTAGCTCAGCTCTCCTGGAGAAAGTCGAGGGCCTTATTAGGAGACCTGTCTCCTCCCTTCAAGGCTGGGTGCCTGGCATCCACCTATGAGCTGTATCAAAGGTCAGGCATGAGGAAGGGGTAGCAGAAAGGGCGCAACAGGACTAAGGCTCTTGAATGCTGGTGGGGCCCCCAAAGCTCTGCTTCCCACCAACCCTGGGCCTGGAGTCAAAGCAAGTTTGTAAAACAGGAAATCTGACAGACAAGGGGAAGGGGGAGGGGGCAGGAAAATACACTGTTCCCATAAGAATTCTGGGAAAACATGCCACTAAGACAGGAAGAGAAAAAAAATGGAAAGAAAGAAAGAAAAACAAACCTCGGAGTGAGTGTGGAAAGCTGGAAGAGAGGGATGGCTTCAAGCTGTCAGGCCTGAGGCCGAGAGGACGATGTCAGGAGCCTGTGCCACTCCAGAGGAGCAGCCTGGAGTGTCTTCTGGGACCTCAGAACCCACCCTCAACCCAAGCAGAACCTGAGACTCCAAAGCCTTTCTAGCACTCCCCCGCCTCCCACTCCTAACTCACCAAGGAGCCACAGCCCTTCCTTCCTGGGGTGCCAGCTACGGAGAATGGGTGCCTGTGCTCCTAGGCTCAGCTAACACTTCGGGCACTGGCCTCAGAGCTGAGTCAGTCTGGAGAGAAGTGTCTGCAGCACAGCAACTTCCCATCCCACACTCTGGTCCTTACTCCAGGGAGCACTGTCAGTGGGAGCCCCTGCCACCCCCTGGAGCAGCCAGCTCCACAGGGCCAATTCCGATGGCAGTCCACTCAGCTAGGAGGTGGGATGAGGAGAGGCGGGCAGGGAGCAAGCTCACCTCCTGGCTCCAGGTGAGGGAGTGTGACTCAGTGAAAGGAACAAAACCATATTCTGTCCAGCGTCACTTAAGACCACATTACAAGTACTGGGTCCAGTTGTCTATGGGTGACCAGGAATATGAGTTAACTGAAAGACAGTTAATTAACTACAACGCCTTTTGTTATTCCCATTTCACAGATGAAACTGAGATATAGGGACAACTGGAGAGTGAAAAAAGTTAGGAATTTTGAAATCCAGAAGTACTTGGTCAGAAGGCTTGGACAAAAACCATATAATGTGTCATATACGTCCAAGCTTCCAATCTTCAGCTTTGACCATGACAGGCATGCACAGCTAGTTACAGTGTGCCCATTTTACAGAGCAAAAAAAGTGAGGCCTGACATAAGGAAGTGGCAGCTCCCACCCCTCTCCAGTGTTAACTTTCTGGTGCAGGAGGAGCTCAGCCCTGCCCTGAGCCTGGGACCTCCTGGCTCCTGACAGAGGCTGCCCTTCCTGGGGGTGGGCCTTGCTCTTTCCTGTCCGTGGCAGAAACTGTCACTGTTCCCAGGCCTCACAGTGCCAGCACCTCATTTGTGCTCCCTGCCTGGCCTCTGGGCGTCTGTCATGCTTCGATTTCAATCCCAGTCAGCATCATTTATTGGACCCTTCCCTGATGTACACACATCAGGCATGGCGCCAGGCACACATCAACCCGTTTAACACTCACAGCATCACAAGTATTCTCCCTATTTTAGTGACAAGAAAACCGAGGCTCGAGGAGGTCAAATATGTTCAAGAGTCACAGCTAAGGAGGGGCAGAGCTGGATTTGAGCCTCGGTCTGACAAAAGGCTGGAGCTTTCCACACACGGCTGGTTTCTAACTCAGCATTCATCTTGAGGTCTGGGTCTCAGACCCCTACGTCCAGCCCACACTCATGTGTGGCCCCATTATGACACTCAGCCATGCCCGGCCTTCTGGACCAAGGTACCGAGGTGACCAAGGACTGCTAGACTTTTTCATGCAGTGTTCTCTCAGCCTCGTCTCTCTGCCCAGTGGCTGGTGTCCCGGGACTGGCTCTGGCCTGGAGGGCAAGGAGGAGAGGAAGGTTGCAGGACAGAACCCAAGAACTGGGAGGACTAGCTGGAGAACACTGGGGCCCCACAGCAGGTAGGTACCGGGATACAGGTGGCCCTTCTGGGCATCTCTCTGACCCAAACATGGCATGCTAGAAGGAGTCAGGGACCCAGATTCCTATCTGCTCAATAAAACAACCAGAACAACTTTTCTAAACAGCAGAACCATTTCTGAGATCCCTTCCAGGCTGGACATTCCCAAACATCTATCTAGGCATCTGTTGCTTTCACCTTCCCTGAGCCTCATATCTCTCTTTCTTAAGGGGAAAAAATACAGGGTTGGTTGGTTTTTTTTTCTCATGCTCCATCACAATTTTAAAGTTAGGGGCTAACTGAGTTATTGCTCCCACCATTGCAGCTCTGAATGCCAAATCTGGATGTGCAAAGCACACTCTTTTAGGGAAGTTGGACTCCAAAACTAAAGGGATCCTGAGCCCCCTCAAGATACCAGGGCTCCGGAGGAGGAAAAGCTTCTCTATACATATGTAAAGATAAGCACTGTCTATCTCACACGCAACCACTAGCCTATATATGCAAATGTGTATATATATATACACACACACACACAGAGAGAGAAAGAGAAAGAGACAGAGCATAGAACAGGCAGGCAGAGCTGTTCCATCACAAGTTGGGGACTAACTTAGCAAATATACCAAACCCCCTTCAGAAACGCCAGCTGCTCAGCAAACAAACCCTTTCCAACTCCATACTAGGTATATCTTTTTAAACGCATATTGCCTCCAAATAAAGAGAATATTAGTACTATAACTTCACTCATGGCCCCGCCCCAGCAGTGGTTAGGACAACTCACAGAGGTGGGTTTCATCCCACCCCCCTGGGTCCAACTCCTGTCCCTACCCTCCTCGTAGATCCAAAGGGCCCCACAGGAGCTGGCGGTGGACAGAGTGGCCTTGTGGGGAGGGCGCCTGCTCTGTGAGCCCTCACCCGTGAACCCCCAAGGGGCCAGAGCACCCACCTGGCGGTAGCGGCGCTCCGAGCACACCTTGCAGAGCCCATTGAAGCGGTTCATGACTGCAGGTCCTGCCTCAGCTGTGGCCCCATGAAAGCCAGCTCTCCCCCGGCAGCGGGAGGCCACACTGCACCCCGTCAGCCTGGCATGACCGCCCTGGGAAGCCCGCCCCGCAGAAGAATGGCAGGAAATCACCTCTCACCTCCCCAAGCCCTGTCTGTGCTGTGTGCCGCTGCACGATAAGCCCGAAGGCTTCCTGAAACCTCAGAATGACAAGGAAGAGGGAGAGTTTTATATTAAAATTCCTGTCAACTAGTTAGTATTCCCCAGGCCCCGGCGGGGAGAGGGCGCCTTTGTTCTGCCTGCATTCTCCGCCATGGGCCACTTTGTGATTCCAGCGTTCTCACAAACACCCCTCGCTGGATGAGAACCCAGGCAGAAAACACGCCTGCTGTCTAACAACACCACTTCCCCCCACCAGCCCCAGGGTCCCTGGGAGCCAATGAGGGGAATTAGCCAGGCCTGAGGAATCCACAGGTGCCTTGGGGTTCACACAAACATCCCCTCTCCAGACAAGGGGGAAAAAAACAACTGCAGACACAAGACCTGCCTGCCCCAGGAGTGACTTCAGAGTCCGTTTTCTCAGGTTAAATCTAAAAACCACTTCCACTCATCAGATGACCCAGCCTCCTCATTTTACTCACCGAGGCCAAGAGCGGAAGGGTTATGGTCACACTGCAGGGTTGGGGGCATTGCTGGACCTGAAGGCAGGCCCTGTCTACCGACTTGCAGCCCCAGGATCTTATCCGGCAGAGCGGCATGTGGTGGGCTCCTACCCTCCCTCAGAGCTCACTCACTCACATACTTGATGGCAAAGAAGTCACTTGTTCCTACCAACTGTTGGCCGCTGTGTGACCATGGGCAGCTCAGAAACCCAGGTTTCTGAACCTCTATGTCCCTAATATGCACAAGGTATGAGTCAAAAGCAGACTTTTCTTCTGGCCCAGTCAAATTCCTTGACAAGCATTGCCAATTTGCAGAGCTTCATAAGTCCTTGAAGAAAGACATGATGCTGGGAAGGGTGGAGGGTCGGCAAAAGAGAGGAAGTGGTCTGACATGGTGACTGCAGCAATGCGCTCTTGTATGTCAGGAAGTGTGAGGATGGAGCAGGACAGAACAGGGTTCAGATCTTTTTTGTTCACGGGGTCACTATGAGTTGTACTTGACTTGATGGCACCTAACAACAACAACGTGAGTCACAGTGGGCAAAACTAGAAAACCAGGTGCGCCTCAGAACAATGTTCAAGGGGCCAGGGTCTGTGTGGAGAGACCAGCATGAAAGGTCTTTCCTAAGGCCTGAGTGTCCCCATAACTCCCACAGATCACCTAGTTAACTCTCTGGTCACTGTCCTTGGTCTGTTCTGCAAGAACAGAAAGAGATCTTTGCAGCAACACCCCTGAGGCCAGAGGAAAGACAGTTACCTCCCACTGGCGTGATGAAGCCACAGCAAACAGACCTGGAGAGTTACTCTAGTAACGTGCTGTCCACCAAGACATATGAGGTAAATTTCAGTGAAATGAATTAGATGAAAATCAACCTGCACAGACACACTAGCCACATCTCAAGTGCTCTGTACCCACAGGTGGCTGTGGCTGTACACTGCTGGTGAGTTGGAACTAACAGCTGAACGAACCTCCAGCAGTTTCTTGGAGGCTAGACATCTCACAGGAGGAGACTGCCCATCTTTCTTCTGCAGAGTAGCTGGTGGATTTGAACTGCCTGCTTTTGGGTTGAAAGCATAACTCCTAGCAGCCACCATCTGGCCAACACAGTTCCATAAAAGCTGGGATCTTTCATTTAATCGCAGCCCAACAGCAGGCACAAGGCCTGACCCACGTGCACACTCACACTCACTCACTGGCATTGAGCTGAAACCGACTCACAGCTATCTGACACTCCACTGGGTTTCTGAGGCTGTAAATGTGTGGAAGGTTGCTCATCTTTCTCTCTCAGAGTTACTAATGAATTTGAGCCACCCGATAGACTCAGCCTTTGGGTTAGCAGTTCGACTCCCTACGGTCTATGCCACTAGAACTCCCTATGTAGGTGTCTAGTAAATATCTCAGGAATGAATAAGCAAACAAATAAATGAATTGAGGGAATGAAAGGGAAATGAGTTGTAGACTGTAACACACTTCCATTAAGAACCCAAAGTATTATTATTAAAAATATCAACATCCTGTCTTCTCAGCTGGGTCACACCAGGAAGGGGTGCACTAGGAGTCCAACAAACTGCTTCTTGTCCCGCTGCCCACACTCTCGGCTGTGAGGCATAATGTCTCTGAACCCAGCCTGACCCTGTCATCTGTAAAATGGGTTAGCAGCCATCATCTCAGAGGTGGCAGTGAGGAGCCAATAGAAAGTACCAGCAACTGGCACAGAGTGGGTAGCAGTACTGGGAGCTCTTTTCACTCTCTTTGCTGTCAGAGAAAACCATGAATTACTGCCATGCCTCGCAAAGGACAGAAATCTCTAGTCCCTATGTCAAGATTCCTAATGGGGCGTAAATACACTGGTCTAGGTTCAGAATCACAACTATTCCCTGACATCGGGAGGGTTTAACCTGGAGACTGCCCAGCCATAGAGTCAGAAGAAGCAGGGTGTGTGAGGGGAGCAATGACAAGGAGAAGGTTTGGCTTCTAGAGGCTAAAGGTCAGTGAGGTTCAGGCTCCTCCATGCCCTGACCGTGAGCACCCAAGGAAAGCATCTGTTATAGCACACCTGAGCAAAGTCAAGAAAGGTTCCCTTCAGAAGCCATGATATGCCAAGATTCATCAAGCGAACCGAAGTCTCAGACACCAAACACTCCCCCTTTTTAGGGGGTGCCTGGGCCCAGGCACGGACAGGAGCCAACGCTCAGGCACTGTCAGCCCCCTATGTCCCCACATACCTGGAGTTTCTCTCCTTTTTCCAGGTTCCCATCTTCTGGTATTCTCAGCAGTGGATCTGGAAGGTGACAGAACAGAGTCATAATACTTGTCCTGGGGAAAAGGGACCATTTCACAAGCCACCCAGAGAACATGGCTGAAAGCACAGGCGTAAGTGGCTACTCAGACCAATTCTGGCTTCCAGGATGTGAGGAGGCCCAAGCTCGGCTCAGGCAGGAGCACTAGGGCCAGGGATCCACACAGGAAATGCAGGATTGAGTAGGAGGCAAAACTTAAGCCCTGAGCCTGAGGCCTTGAAGTTGGGTCTAAAATGCTTGGTGTATGAGGTGTGTACGGGCAAGAGAGTTTAACCCGTGACACTAAGCCACCAGAAGAAAGCCCTGAGATCACATAGCCTGGAGAGGAGCCTTTCCAGAAGCTTCTGAGCCCAGCCCTCCAGCAGTGAAGGATGAGGAGAGCCAATCAATGTGGCATCACACCCATTACCCTCTCCCAGGGAATGTCCAATCAGATCAATAAAGGTGTGTGACGGTCAGAGGCTTCCTGCAGCCTGCATTCTCAGCAATCTGCTCATGAGACATCAGCCCTGGTCCCTGCAGTTTGATCACAGTCTGGGTGACAAGTGCCATAAAGCACAGGCACTGACATCTGAAGGGGGGTTGGGGTCGAAGAAAGAGAATGAGTGCAGGTGGGCAGAAGCTGACGGTTTTGTGCACGTACCTCTCAGGGGCCGCAGTCGCCGTCTTGCCACCTTCAGGTGCTTCGTCCTGCCCAAGTCCTCATCTAGAAGGTAGTACCAGCCACTGATCTCCTGTCACGACAGATGAGATGTTGTGCTTAGTGAGAGGAGGCAGAAGGCCAGGTCAACTGGAGTGGGATCTCTCTATGGAGAGATGTTTTCACCTCTATGCTCCAAAGGCCCCCATGCATTTTGAGGAGGCCTCTATGATGCTCCAGAGCTGTCCCCCCCTGAGCCAAACATTTATAGCTGCTTATCCCCAACCAACAGCTAGCTGTTTATTTGCATGCCTGTCTCCCTTACTAGACTGTGCACTGGCTTCCTGATGTGTAAGCCTGTGCAGAACACAGTGCATGATCTACCACAGGAGCTCAGTAAATGTTTGCTGAAAGAACAAAAGAGAGACCAGAATACAGATACCCTTATGCTCCAAAGAAGTCCTTGGGGCGGGGGGCGGGGGGGAGGGTGTTTCCCAGGAAGAATGAGACTGAGGCTGCAGCTGAGAGACTACAAACAAAGGACTCACACAAAGGTTTAGGGTCCTCAGACCCCTTCGCCACAGATTCCATCACCAGGGCACAAATCTGGGTAGCAGGGCCACCTGGTAATTCAACAGCGTACCACCTGGAACATCTTCAGGATATGCAAAAGTAGAACATCCCTCCCCAGTTCGAAATCCTCCCAACTTGGGGTGCAGTGCAGAGAGGAGAAGGAGTGGTCTTTAGATCCCACAGAACCTCATCCAGCCCGAAGGAAAAGTCAGCAGAGAATAGCACTGCTCCTTCCATCCTCAAGCCAGTGCCAGGTTTAGAAACATGGGACATGGTAGATGATGTCAAGTGGTTCCTGGAGTAGACCATGACAAACACTGGGACTTTCTCCCCCAGGGCAGGCCCAGGAGTGCTCAGAGTCTCAATGAACCTGACAATGTCCTTTCTGGCAGATGTCAGAGGAGTAGGATGATTTTGGATCACCTGATAACATCTCTCAGATAAGAACAGAACAATATAGAAACCTAAGCCTTCCTTGATCAGCCAGGTGACAAGCACAACGTGGTCAGTGAGGCTACTGAGCACTTGTCTTAGTGGGGTTCACCTCCCAGGGGAGAGGCTCTACCCCAGACTTGGCAGATAAAGACCCACCCCTGCCCATCCCAACAGTATGATCCCACCAGAAGCTTCCCTGAGACCCACCTTGTCCGGAGTCAGGAGGGACTTCACCCCAAAGCTCATACAGCCAATGAGCCTGCTAGGTCTGGGAGAAGAGAAGCCCAAGTTAGCACCTTCTCCTGGGACTATCTCAGAGGCTAGTTACGAAGCATAAAGGTTTGCCTGATGCAAAGCACTATCACTTACATCATCTTATTTGACCCTTCCAACTTTCTGAGATCAGCTAAAGAAGAGTCATCATCTCCATTTCACAGAGGGGAGAAAAACAAAGGTTTTCTGCTGGAGCCCACCCCATGGGAAACCCAGACATCCTCCACCTCTGTGCAGCATGCTCTCCACCAATCACAGAGGCT